TTTCACAGTCTGCATGATACCCATAGTTGCTACAAATCTGTCACAAACCTGGCTATTTCTTCTGTTCTGCACCTATGACCTTTTCTTGTTTGTCCTCAAAAAAATAAGGGTGTCAAGATCGCTACCAATATACCTGATTAATAGAACTAAAAGAAAAACGATAATATTTTCCTGAAATGAAGCCTCCATCCTAAACTATCTACCGTAACAATAAAGAACAACTGATCGCCCTTTAGTAACCCCATAGTCGCAAATCCTCCCCCCAAGCCAAGCCAGGTACAGTAAAGTTCCGTGTGACACAATCCGGGTAGGTACAGCTCTAATTCCCCAATTCATATCAATAAATGTCCTCACCAGTCAACAACCATACCCATACCCTTGCTTACTTATTCTTATTCTTATTCCTGTTACTCCGTAGGCTACCTTGATCTGAACTGGTCAGTTCAGGCCAGTCCAGTCGGTCCAGCCACTTCTTTTTCAATCTATTCCTTCTCTCTCTCTTCCTCTCTCCATCTTCGTAAAATGTGTGTGTGTGTGTGTCACACCAACATCAACATCTTCTGCACCCTTCCACCTACTATTCAATAATCAGGTTACAATCTCATGCACGTACCCTGATTTATTCCCCCCCTCCCGTAGTAAATAATCGCTCGTGCTACACAAGCTACCCTGTCCTGTCTCGGCCCTTTGCTCCCCCCCTGCAGATCGGATCGGTAATCTGCATGTCGTAGTGTATGTAGTACGTAGTACTTTGTTACTTTTTGTTGGGTTGGATGGTTCTAGTTGGTAGTAGTTGGGGATTGGATTGAACGAACTAGTGGTTTGGTTTGGTTTGGTTTATTTCAAAGTATTTAGTGGGATGGGGGTCCCCCTTGGATGCTACGGATGCTACGCTTACTTGCTACCTTGTTGTTGGTGAAGATAATTTTGCTTCGTTGTGTGTGTGTGTTCTTCCCTTATGTTTCAGTTCACTCATTCATCACTATTTGAGTGTAGTATGTGCACTTTGAACAAATATCGATATTCATTCACCACACCTTCGCTTTCCCGCTCTTTCTTGCCGTATTCGCCTCGCCTTGCCCTTGCCATCCCCCCCTTTTCGACCATATGTGAAACGCCATCACTCAAAGAATAAATACCATGTGTCTGCCGCGTGAACTCCTGAATACCCTTTTGCTCCTTTGGACTCCCTTTCGCATCTTTCTGCCCTCTTCGTCTTTCATCTTTCCTTGAACTCCAATAATAACTCCGGGGATATTTTCATCAAACAATAAAAAAAAGATATCACATAACCATGAACATGAGAAGAAGAAGAAAGAACAATTACATAGATGGAGGAAAGATATGCACATCATGAATCGAAAATGGGTCCATATGCATGGATCCCGTGAGATTCCAGTTCGTATACCACCTTCTTTGTGACGAATGGATTGCTAATCACGCAGACAGCCTCGGCGTCAAAATCCCGAACCATCTGTCGGATGATCGGGACCATGTCGATTCGTCCTGCCTGGTTGGTGTCGATGATGACCGGATTCGTGTCCATCTCGGACACCAGGTTCAGGATGTCCTGACCGTACGTCTTGAGCGGTGCCCGCGTCTGCCAGAGCACTCGAAGTTCTGGCCGGTTTGCATCCCCCAGGAAGGAGAGACACGGGCCGATTCCGGATCCTGTCGTTACAACCACCACGCGCTTGAAGACCCGCATCGCGTATGCGAAGCCGTTAATCAGGACCCCTCGCTTCCAGAGGTGAGTGGGTGGGTCTTGGATGCAGGCTGTCGTCCAGTCCCCGGCTTTGGACACCAACGCAGAGAAGCTTTTACCTTCTGGGTCCGGGAACGTGGCAAAGCCATGCCAGTCTTGCAGTGGGTGTCGGGATAATTGGATGCCCTTGCCGAAGTTCGTCGTGGTATGCGTGAAGTGGAGACGCACCGCATGCGAGGAGAGGTATTCGGCCCGGACGGGGACTTTGCGGAGAAGAAGCCAGGGATGGATGATTGCCACGACCGTGACCATCAAGAACCAGAACGCAGGGAGAGTGACGAGGAACCGACCCAGAGACTCGTGGTACGCCTCTTTGGCCTGGTCGGCGAAGATCATGAGCAATATCACAAAGAGTGCCACGACGAGCCATCCGGAGAACCGGTGCGTCAGCTCGAAGTAGTCGTGCCTCTTGAAGCGGAACTTCGGGTGGGCCACCACGATGATTGCCAGCAGCAGGACAAGAATAACGTATGCTAAGACAACGGGCGCAAGGGATAGAACCGACGCTCCGGTCCAGTACTCCCGAGACATCACGCCCACGAAGCCCACATACCAAACGAAAGCGGCTACGCCACATCCGCTGTGCACGCCGCCATAATGATACGCCTTGGCGGCCAGCAGACGCAACCATTTCGGGGCTGATCTTGGTATAGAGCAGACGGAAATGAAGATGGAGTTGACTACCAGCGGCTGTCGTGCCAAACCACATGCCATCAGGTTGCCGGCGGTGGCGTTGACCAGGGCTAACAGAGTCCGGTCCGTGACCATGATGGCCACGAACACGGCAACATTGGCCAGGAAGACCAAGGTGAAGAGACGACGGTAGATGTTGAGCAAGGCATACCGGATTCGAGATAGCTTCTTCACCTTGTGCTCTTGGGCTTCAAGGTCCCAGGGGTTGTTGCCTGCATGATTGTGTGAAGCCTCCACCTTTTCTGAGAGCTCATTGACTATAGTCTGGTCTGTCAATGTTGCTTCGCCTGGGCTCGGTGGGCCTGATGCACATTTGGCCGGCTGTGGTACCGACACAACGGTCTGTACTGGTGAGGATGACATGCTGACTCGGGATATTCCAAATCCGAGGACGTGAGGAGGGAGGAGGAGGGTGGGTGAGAGACAAGAAGCAGACACCCAAGAGAGGTTTATCCCAACCAAGATAGGTGGAGGAGGAGGGATGCGAGTGGCAAGGGTTGGTGTGAGGATCAGGTACAGACCGACGCAAAAGGGAAACAAGAGCAATTGCAAAAATTGGCTATACCCTAGGTAAGATCATGGCCCAACGAATGATTTGAGAGAGATGAGGTGAGGGGGTGAAGAGAGAGGATCTGACAGGCGTTCACAGTTCACCTCCGAATTGGCATTGCCGTGAGCCAACTGCGGTGAATGGGCACCTGCGTCTTTTGAATCTTTGTGGATGACGACATCTCATAACGATGCAGAAGAAGTATATTTCCCGAAGCGTGGACCTACATCGAACACCGGAGTTATCTTGGGGCTATTGTGTCTAGTCCATGTTCCCAGCAGCTGGACGCATACCGCATGCGGCATACTGTCGGCCCGTTTTCCCTCTACAAAATCCTTTTCTTTATTTTTTTTTTTTTTTTTTTTTTAATTTTATTATTTTATTATTTTCATTTTATTATTTTTTTTTTCTCTTGATTTTCATTTTTCTGATACTTCACTTTGCCGAGCCAGGTTTTTTCATGGATTTACCCACCAGACCTGAAGCCTGATACTATTGCACGGGATGGGATCCCACCCTAAATTGGTGGATTGGAGGCTGACTGCCAATGAGCAGTGAAAGATGGCATGGTGCCATTCAAGATTCAGCTCTGCATTCCCCGAATCGAGAAAGAGAAGGCCCAATGGATGGTCCCCGAAGGAGGGGGAAGTTGAACCGTGCCGCCTCAGATCCATGGCTGATGAATCTAGTGACGGTGATAACTAGATAGAAGGGTCTAGAGATTAGCATGATCCGGCACAACCAGTCCGAGTGGCTCCTGCAGGAGGGTCAGGGTTTCCCTGCCTGACGCTAGCAGGTGAAGACACTCGTGTGAGACGCAATGATGCTCGCCACGGGGGGAGGATCGTATTCTCCACCGCTGCACCGCCCGATGGGGGGTGTAAAGGTGGAGGGATGAGGCAATGGGAAAATCGATAATCGGATTATCGGAGCACGGGACACAGGATGATTGTTGAGAGGCAAGTTAGTGAAAGAAGTTGACTTGACAGGGCCCCGGCGGCAATATCCACCCACGATCCATGCAGGACGCACAGATTCCTTGCTTTTTTCCTCTTTGGGAGAACCAACTACAAAATAAGAGTCTAAGTATCGGTGGCAGACGCAGATTGCAGATGGAGCCCTGCCATGTCGCTGGGAAAGACTAGTGTGTCCCGAGGTGCTGGCCAGGCGGCCCGGTAATGGAGTCGAGGGAAGAGTGCATATGCGCCTGATAGAGCGGCAGACACACCCACAGAGAAAGAAAGAAAGAAAGAGACAAGTGATCAGAGGGTTACCCACACCGTACTACCAGCCAGGTTTCCATTAGCGGGCGGGGTACATTTCAGCGGTGCCAGGCGCGTCTTGCAGGAAAAGACGTACACTTTGGCTGCCAAAGTGATTAGCAAGACGTCAGCCTAGCATGGGTCAGGCGAGGTGGATACCAAACAGGCAGGCATGATTGCACGATGGGGGGGATGGGTGGAAGGGTGGAAGGGTGGAAGTCGAGATTGAATTGGAAGCTGAATACAAAGCCCCCAAATCCAGCAGGCTGGGGCGTCAACCATGGGTGAACGCTAGTTCGGTTCCCAAGGCGGGAGATCTAACCGGTGGGTTCAGCTGCACGAGGACATGAACTAGATACTAACCGCTCCGCCGATTCCTGAAGAGTGAAAGTGGCAAGAGAAAAAAGAGGGGAAATGAATGAATGGAACTGAGTTGGGAGGCTATACTGAATGGGGGAAGCAAAGAACGATACCAGCTTGGGACTAAAGGGAGATGCACGATCGAGAGGCTCGATGACAGGGGAGCGTGGGAGTCATCAGATCCAATGGGAAGGCAGGATGAGGAAGATTGAGTCAAGAACCGTGGTGTTCGGGCTGAAGAGATGCCCAATAATGGATTAAGTTGAGGTATGGGGAAAGAGAAACAGAGAAAGAAAAAAAAAATAAAAAAAAAAAGAGTGGAAGAGGAAAAGATGGGATGAGAAGGGAAGTTACGAAGATCATGGATTGTGGAGAATAACTTTTATTTTTTTTATTTTATTCTAATTTTTTTATTCTTTCTTTGTTTGTTTTTCATATTGTTATTTTCTCTGGAGTTTTTTATTTTCTGTTTTTATTTTATGTCTTGGGGTGTTTTTGCTTTTTTCCGCTTTATAATTTTTTTATTTCCTAATTCTTATTTCTTTTTGATATTTTGGGATTTTCTGAATTTCCGCCTAGGAAATAGAGGTGAGTTCGTCTGCATGACGGGAGCTGTTCGCTCTGGCCAAGTTACGACCCACTTCGGGATGCGATCTGAAGGACGAAACCGCGAGGGGATTAGTGGATGCTGCAATCGGCGGCTGTCATTCGATGTCTTGGGAGGAAGACGTGGGTCGGAGTGGGATCCGCGCCCCGATCTTGGAGTGAGTCTCTCTCAGGATGCGATGGAATTCCAAATTCCAAATCATGGCATTTGTTCGAAAGGGTAAGTGATGGGGGTCCAAACTGGAAAAAATAACTGGAATTAATCTGGAATTCCCTTGTCATTCCCATCCCCCCTCTCTCACTGGCACACACACTCTCTCTCTTTGCTCTAGCTCATGCTCTACTAGCTTGCTGTCGCGCTCTCTCTCTCTCACTTTCGCCGCAGGATTAGGTGTCGGTTTCATGAGCTGGTCCTTTTTATTTTCTACCCTTCGAAACTTCCCATCATGAATGGAGATATATTTATCGCCCCAGAATTCCCCTTTGCTGGATCGGGGAAATAATTCTTTCTTGATCTTTTATGATCATTCCTCGTCCAGGCCCCGACATTTGTCTACCATTACTACTTCCTACTATTACTACTACCACTTACTGCTCCTATCTGGTCCCGTCACCTTCACACTGGAAACGGGGCATGTGTGATTCGATTGATTCACATTGGACTGGACTCAACTGGACTTGATTCAACTCTGACAACACTAACTCAACGGGACTGAATTGACCCTCTTCCTTCCTCTTTGCTTCTCTCCCTCCTCCCTCCCTCTCCTGTCTTCTCATCCTCACCCTCCTCCTGTTTCCTCCTCCTTCTCTCCAACCCTTCTCCTGTTCCATCTTTAGTTTCCCACTCCTATCTTCTCCTCCACTCCTCCATATCTTGTCAATCATCCCTTCAGTTCTTGAACAAATCACCAGTCCTCTCCTCCACGATGGGTAGTCTCTGGGAGTCTCCCACTCTGGGCGATCCCTTCAACCTTACCCACCCCGACAACCACCTGGACCACGCCAACAATCATGGCATCACTCACGGTGACGGTTTCTACACCGACTTGTTGACCTTTGCCTTTAGAGGCCCAGTCCACTATGACCGGCAACAGCCAATATTCATCGACGCTGAGGACGCTACGCGATTCTTCAACGCGTTGCAGTTCGAGACTCTGGTTCGAGCGCTGATTGCTGGTCTGAAAGCCCACAATGTACAGCCGGGCGATTGTGTTTTGGTCCACCTGGGAAATAGTGTAAGTAGTCATCTAGTCATCATCCTCCCCTGACGGCCCGCTTATCAAATCCCCCCCAAACACTACTACTTACCTCGAGATCTCTCTCTCTGCCCCTCCCCCCACACCTCACCCACCCTTCCTATTCTCTGTTCTCTGATCTATTCAATTTGATTTGTTACCTGTTTCTCCATCGTGTTATCGTCATTCCCATCATGCCCCTCCATCATCCTCTTCTCACTGACTCATGGTGTGGTAGATCATATACCCCGCGCTGTTCTTCAGCATCATCGGGGCTGGCGGTGTGTTCATGGGCTCCAACGCGCGCAGCCAACCACAAGAGCTGGAGCACATTCTGCAACTGGCAGAGCCAAAACTGATCATCACCTCATCCGATGCACTGCCTACGGTGCTGAGCGTGTCAGCCGACCGTGGAATGCATCCCAGCCAGGTGTGTCTGGTGGATGAAGCTGCAGGGGATTACATCTCCCAATACTTCCTCGCCGGACCATTGGCTTATGCGACTGCCGGCGCCTCCTATCTACTACCGAGCAGTGGGGGCGGCTCTGTTGTGAACTTCGCCCACCTTCTAGCGTATGGCGAAAGTGATTGGGTGGCCTTTGATGACGAGATGATCGCCAAATCGACGCCGGCCGCCATGTTCTCCACCAGCGGCACCGGAGGCCTGCCTAAGGCAGCATACCTCACCCACCATGCCATGATCTCTCACCACCTCACCATCCAATACGATGTGCCTTATGAGGTAACTCGCTTGATGTCGCTGCCCATGTTCCACATGTTTGGTGCGCTGTGGACCCACCTATTTCCCATTCGCTATGGCGAGCCCTTGTTTGTGCTGTCGCGTTTCGAAATGAACCTGTTCATTCGGACGGTGCGCGATTTTGGTATCACCGAGACCTACATGGTCCCCGCTATGATTCACAAGTTCAATCGGTCAGCCTCGTCCGCCACTAGCTCTCTGTCCTCTCTCCGTTACGTCGGCGTTGCCGGCGCTCCCATTGACGCCGCCGCCATGCAGCGCTTCCGGGAACTGCTTCACAGTGACGCCCGTGCCTCCCAGTTGTGGGGGATGACTGAAGTGGGGGTGGTGTTCCAGAATCGCTACGGGCCTCAGCAGGCCCCCGCCGGCAGCATTGGCCGATTGTTGGAGGGCTACGAGGTGCGGCTGGTCGGACAGGACCACCAGCTGGTGCTCGAGGACAACCAGCCTGGCGAGCTCTGGGTGCGCGGGCCCGGGGTCCTCAGTGGGTACAAGGGCCGGTCAGACGCCAAAGACGCCCGAGGGTGGTTCCGCACCGGCGACGTTGCGTACGTGAGCGCCGGGCAGTTCTACATCTACGGGCGCACCAAGGAATTGATTAAAGTGCGAGGGTAAGTGGTGGTCAATTGGAAAGCAAACCCCGAAGCAAGTGCTAACCGTGACGTGCAGATGGCAGGTGGCCCCGGCGGAGGTGGAGGCAGCGCTACTCAAGCACCCGGAAATCGAGGACGCCGCCGTGATTGGGGTTACATCGCGGGACGGCAGCACAGAGTTGCCCCGAGCGTTCGTGGTGCGAGCCAAGAGCCTGACGGGCAGCCGGCTGACCGCGGACGATGTGTACAACTTTGCACGGCACCAATTGGCCAGCTATAAGGCGCTGGATGGGGGCGTGATTTTCGTGGAGGAGATCCCACGGACCGCGAGTGGGAAAATCCAGCGGTTCAAGCTATCTCAGATGAACACCTATCGGGAGATAGTGAGTAACTTGCTGGCACGGTTCAAGGGTGCTAGTATGCAGACGGTCGGGATAATGCATCCAGGGCGCATTACGGTGTAAAGGGGGGGGGTTGCTTTTTTTTTTTTCATTTCTCTTCTTGATTTTCTGTTTTCTATTTCTTCTTTCGACTTTTCTTCTTCTTTTTTTTGCGACATTTTTCTTCTTCCGTTGATATTCCGCTCTGGGAATGCCGTACATATTCGGGGGCGTTAGTGATTACGGACTAGGCTTTAGGCGTTAAGAGCAGGGTGGACGGTGGGGGAGTGACAAGGGGGATGGAGCCAGAAAAAGACGACTGGATTCGTCCATACAACTACACATACATACATACATCTGGAAGCACATAGCAAAGGCGCACAGATACATAGCATGGAGATAAAGCTAAATTAGTTAGTTAGTATCATAATGATGACCATCATGTCAGAAAGAATCTCCTACCTAATCCGGCGAGAAACCAGCCCCCCTCGTTTTTTTATTTTTATTTTTTATTTCTCTTTTTCTATTGCGCACCGTTAGTCCCAAGGGACACACACCTACAGCAGACTACAGCAGACTACAGTGAACTACGGTGTGCTACTGTATCTTCTTAACCATGACTAGTTTAGGTTCTGCGCAAGTTTCGCCCTGCACGCCCGATACCTATCCGGGTAACCCCGGAAGAGCGGTTAAATTGGGGGTGAGTGGGTGAGTGAGTGGATTAGATCATCTGTCAGTCTGTTAGGAGTGATTTCCCTTGCAGTACGTTACTCCATTGCGGTGCAGTAGCCTTCTACTTACTCACTTACTACTAGTGGATTAACATTAACATAGCAGTTATCTACCCTACTTCGTGAACTAAAGTAGGTATAGTAATGGAAGTTGTTTGAGGTGGTGTGTATCTTCGCTTAGCTGTTAGTTAGTTTATTTAGTAGTGAGCTACTTACTATAAAACTAACTAAGTGGTTGTCTGTCCAATCCTGTGGGGGAATTGGGATGGTAGCTAGTACAGTGGCTGTTTGTTTGGCACATGTTTGTGGACGTTAAGCGCATGGAGTGGGTGTGTGATACATTACACCGAAACGCGCTGGTTGGGTTTGATTTAGTTTAGTTTAATTTTCAGTTTTGAATGGGATATTTCTATCCATTGGATTGATTTTAACTCTTTAACTTTCTTTCTGTAGAGAAAAAGTAGCAATTGGATTGCGATTGTAAAAGGCCTTCCTCCCTCCGCCCAAATCTGAATTTATTTACACTCACCATCCAGTCGAGTGACATAATAAAGCAGGGTAAATGAATTACTAGTTAACTAGGATATTGTTTGCTGTCAGAACTAAATCTAGTCTTCGTTCACGAGAGGGGTAGATGGATTCTCAGTGGCTATTGTCTTTGACTCTTTTTTCTCCCGTAAGCGTGTTTGACTGGGATTATGCTCCTTCGTGATCCTTGCAAGGAGGAGAAGAAAAGAAAAGAAAATGTATAGTGTACAGTGGAGGAGGGGTCTGATCCCGGTTGTTGGGTACATATCTTACTATCTACGGTGTAGTTATCTATCTAGGTTAAACAATTAGGTATCTGCGTAGTAGTACTAACTTGATATAGCAGGAGCATCATTCCTTTTGTTTCTCATGTTTCACAGTGATCGCAATCGTGATAGGGGATCAATCTCCTCTCTGAAAGAGGGGAAATGTGGACTAACAATCCCAGGATGACCCTGTTAACAGCCAAACATGATACAAGGATGTGGTCAAAATCATAATGTGATGAAGATTATCAGTAGGGATAAAGTTTATACCTCGGTAGGGTACTACTTGTGAAGTATAGGATGTGATGATGTCTGCAGAGTATGTCAAAATGACATGTGGTACTTCTGTTATTTTTTTTATTTCTATGATCCAAGAATATGTACATATACAGTAGTAGTAAGCAATGTCGGTAGATAGATACATATGTATCTTCCTCGGCTACTAGTGACTACTTACATACATTGTACATACACGAGCTGTATCATGTACATATTCTATTACTATCACTTATGTAAATGTATATGTATATGTACATGTACATGTACCTAATCAAGTAAGTCAGCAAGCAAGCAAACTATCTATTCTAATTGTAGTAGCAATAGCATTTAATAGTCTCTACACTCATTTCTCCATAACATCGTGTTTATGGTAATATTCACATGTCTCATTATTGAACGTGGACAGCTGAAGAATTATTTTATTTTTTTCTTCTTATTTTCTTTCTCTAAGCGATAAATATAGTTCTCGTAGATAGATTGTTGTTCTCCACTAAGCTTTTCTGATCACGGAAAGAAAAAGATAAAAAAAAGAAATATGGTTCACCCAGCTTTATCTTTTCCCAGCTTCAATCCTTTTAGTTCTTTTTAAGGTTATGCTTTTTTTTCTAAGACCCAGGATATGCACTCTCGGTACCATGGTTGAGTGACTGATCCCTAATGTAAGGTGATGATGGCTTGTTGTTTACTTTTTTCCCAAATTCCCACTTGTCTTCTACCCATTCTTACTTAATGGAGTAACGTATGGATGAAGAGTCTATCCACTTAGTTGATGAATTGAAGGGATCTGATCCTAGTATCGCATACCAATTCCCGGATATTGTTAAAGTTTGGAGTTGGTGAACTTTACCATTTACCAAGTAGTTAGTGTTAACTACTTACTAACATTTGTCGCCATTTTTGGGTTGTAGCCTGATCTGGTCAGTCCTTACTTATTATTAACATTTAATGAATAAACTACAATTACTACATTTGTAGACACTACTATTCTATCTCGTGATTCATATTTTTCCGATTTTTTCACAACTCTTATCCTTATTAGGTTTCTATATCTTAGCCTCCATTCATAGTCAATCACTCACCCTTTCGTTTAGATTAATAATCTATTTTGATCAAGTAAACCCGACTAAACTCCGTCTCTTCCTCCGATGGAGAGAGATAAAGAGGTATTACACACGTAACTACTTACCTACGTACTCCGTAGGTCAGACAGTTAATAATAAATCTAAATGACAGGTGTTAACTAAACAAGCCCTCCTTACCCAATCGTAATCTCCTTTTCATTTATTCCCGACCAGGGTCTTGTCTGTCTCGAAATGACATGACATTCAATCCCCGCCGCTTTGCGACACTTTACTAATTAACTAATTAAACTAGCGTGATCCGCTAAATCACAAGGTAAGTCAGTCAGTCAGTCTATCTCGTGTCTTTGTTCTACCGATGATACATAACAACATACTAATCCCGATCGACAAGACAAAAGTACAAGATGGATAGATGGATGGATAGATCGCGATATAAACAACAAGAGAGCAATGAAAGACATCTTCTCCACACCGATCAAATCAAAAGAAATATATTTTCATGTTGCTGTATCCAGAAAAGGAAATAAAAAGGGATCTCCTAACCCGAAAACTGAGGTTAAGTTGAGTCCGGCCCGTACTAGTGTCGCAATAGTTTGGAGTCCTGCCCTGCCCACTTTTCTTTCTTTCTTTTCTCCTATCTTCCATTCGTTTTCTGAACCCTGGACTAAACTGCTTAGTGGTTCAGCGGCTACCTCACTATTCTCTGGACTAAAGTAGGTTGGTACTAAACTAAGTCTATCGCATGGCTTGGATGAGGTTTTCAGCTCTGCGCCACACACACACGGACACTCTGCTCTGTCTTGCCACAGTGGGCTATCACTAATATGGTGGGTTCTTTGCGATAGTGTTTGGTTCTATCTTTTTCTATCTTGGGTTATTGTGGTGCTGGATGATGCTTTCTATCTCTCTCACCAGGCTGAAATTCGAGTGCTTTCCATCTACCTACTATCGGCAATCTCTGTACGATCTACACCCTCCAGCCGGTTTGTATCTCGGAGGAATGGATGGATCGATGATGCCATGACGACACCACCACGGCCCAACTCACTAGTCTCTCGCAAGCCCAGCGCCGCCTCGTGGGCGGAGGACTAACTATCCAACTGTGGCATACAATCGCTTCGATGAGGATGATGATCGATTGGATCGCGGGACAATCCGATTGTCATCCACTTCCTCCTCCTCTTTTTCCTCTTTTTCCTCTTTCTTTCCCCCGCCGGCAGTCCGCTTGCGGAAGGTTACACACCATCGGCTGTCAACCAGTTTGGATCCGTCGCGACTATTGAACCGGATGGACGGTGTTGCTTTGTCGGAATCTCCGGCTTTTCTCTCCATGTCTTTGCCCAACAGGGTTGTTGCTCCTATCGCCATCGTTGGGCTGGTCACCGCTAGGATCGCGAATCAGATCTTGGATCGACCTATTTTCGCCCATCCATGGGGCGATTGCCTTGGCTTTCCCTGATAATTTTCCGCCAAGGTTGTAGTAATAGTAGTAGTAGTAAACCTTCGAAGACTCAGCTGTCCTGTTCTCGCCTTGATTGAGATTCGAATTGATCCGGCTGAGGTTCATGTTTAGCACGGGTGGCACCGTAGCAGAGCCTCGCCATGGCGCATCCTCCACACTTGGCCCCAAGCCTGACATCCGTCCGCTGATCGGCATGTCATTGCGGTTGGGGGGAGGGAGTGGGTTGGACCCGCGCATCACTGGGTCATGATTATCCTTTCCCAACAATCCCAAGGTGCACAAGGGAGGGGAAGAGGGAGTGGACACCGGACAGGATCTCTCTGCAGCTTGCACCCTCGCCCTCAACTCTTTTCTCAATGAAAACTGCACGAGAGAGAGAGGCTGCGCCGGGGACCGCAACGTGCAGGTCATGTGACAGGGCCAGTGAACTAGCTGCAGCCACTAGAAGAATTAGACAGACGCCATGTCATGCCAGTCCGGATTTCCTGGACCACCGCCTGTTCGTAAGCTCCTGCTTCCCTCTCGCCGTCGGTAATATTCTCCCGGTCCAGTTTGTGCCCTGGCTTCATCGCCGCCGCCCCCAGCCTGGCTCTTCTGGCGGTCTCTCCGGAAACGACCACCACGCATCCAAACGGGTCATCCTGGCAGCTGCTGCCTGGATCCTGGCGGCCCCCAAGGGGTTGCATTATGGAGTAGACACTAGTCGCAACGGTCTTCCCACTCGACTGCATTGCCACGTCGACCGACATGGTCTAGGAGGGGTAGAAGCACGATTGACATCCATGTTCGCAATGATGGTGGTCATGCTTTCAAACAAACCCCGAGTCGAGGATCTGACCGAGTATACTTCGTAGTGAAGAAAGGGAAGAGCGTTGTTGGCGCGGTTTCGGGATTCACTGATCCCCGATGTCAAGACCGTTAATTGTCCAAGATTTTTATTTATTATTTCCTTTTTTTGTCGTAGTTTCTTTGTTCCCCTCTTCATCTAAGGTTCTCCAACTCTATCCACTTGATTCAGGTCATGTTCCATGTTCACATGCGACCGGGATTCCAAGATTCGAGTTAAAGAAATGCCGTCCAGGATAGCCTATCGTTCATAACCGGAAGTCCGGCGGGTCATTCATGGCCCAGAAGCAGATACTCATCAGCAGCTGTCGTCACCGACTTCTGCACCGTACGTGCGTGATGAAGCAACCGACGTTGTACAACATCAAATGTGATTGAGTTTGCGACCTCCCAGCCTTCGTCAACTCAGTGGCGGTAAAGATGGCGGTAAACCAGGAAAAGATAGAACAGAATAAAAAAAAAAAAAAAAAAAAAAAAAAAAAAAAAAAAAAAAAAAAGGAACGACATTGTAACTAGGTGTCTGTAGTGACGTGATAGTGTCTGCTCCAAGAGAGGGGATATCCTAAAAGCCCGCCACTGGCATGGTGCAAGTCCGCCGCCCGACCGGTGCTGCTGGTGCATATCGAGCCATCATAACCGAGGCGCCGGCGCAGGTCGAGTCCCAGACCAAAGCATGTCTGTTGTACTAGGATGCAGTTCCTTCCATCCTAACGGACGCGCAAATCGCGCGATCCGGGCGTTGATCGATAATCTCACTCAGCGTTGTTTGCTCTGCTCCGCCTCGATCAGAGTATCCCGTAGCCTTTCCACCATACCCCCCATGCCAATGGCCCCAACGCCCCGATAACGGCTGCCCCAAACGGTATCTCCCAAATGCTCCAGATCCATATTGTCCCGATGGCGGGCGCCCCCCTCATCACCGCGTAGTATGGTTCGTCGTTGGTTATGACCATCAGCTTACAGCCAAGAGCGACCGCCATCGGCAGGAACACCATGGTACGTAATGCCGGAGGAAAGAGCAGTTTTCGGAAGAATTCTAACGTCAGTTTCTCGCTGTCCCAGGGCAGAAGCGAGACCGTCTCGGTGGACTTCAACCTGCCAGTGCTGCCAATGAAGGAGACGACGTGTCCGTGAGCAAGATGGACCAGCAGGGTCAGCATCGGAAAGGCCACGAATACTGATTCGCGGATGAGGTGGTCTAGTTCGATGGACTCGGCATATTGATGGGCTGCGAGGTACGCGAGGGTCAGGTGGAGGGTGGTCAGGGGGACTGAAAGCAGGAGAGTGTCGATGACGGGCGGGATAGGATGGTCGGACTCTTCAGGTTCGTCTTCTTCCTCCTCACTGGATGCCGTTTCGTCCGTGACTTCTTCAACTCGCCTGATATCCTGCCCGTTTTTAACCGCCGCGAGCTCCGATGCGTTGAGGCCGGAAATGTCTCCGGTCGTGGGGTCGATGGTCACAAACCGGGGACTCGAGTCAGGAGTCCCAGTCGGGGCGTTTGCCTGGCCTAGAAGTTCGCTTTGCCGTTCAGATATAATGTCCATCAAGGTCTTCTCCTTGCTCTTCGCGGGATTCGGTGCAGGGCGCGCGAGGGGGATTGAGGAGGGATCGAACGTGTCGCTGTCGACAGTTGTCGCTGCTGCCGCTGCTGCTCGTCGCTGTTTCCGGTTCCTCGGACCTTCCATCGTGCGGAGTTCTGTAGATGTGCGTAGCTAGTTATTGGCGAGAAAAGGGGCGATGGTTCGCGACAGAACGAGAAGCAGGGGTTGTCTCAGGTGAAGCCCAGGTGTCAACTTGAAATGATGTATCACCGCCGGAGTTAAGCGGGGTTAGCCGTCCTGGTGGGCTGCCCGTCTACACTGTAACACAATATAGGTTAACCTTCAACCACGTTTTCATTAGTACCTAAGTAGAACCCTAGATTAAGAACTAATAGAATTACAAACGGTTCAGCAGCATAGTTAAGACATGAAATTTTCCTTTCCCTGTCAAAAACCAAATACATCATCAGAATGAAGCATCTCGCGAGGAATCACACGTCAAAAGCATGCCTTCCCTGCTAAATATACCCTCCAAGCCATACTTCCACTCGTTTAGCCCGACTGGTAGAGAGCCGGCCCAGCGACCACATGAGGGTTAATCATGGTGATGTTGAACGGGGTCACGTAGAGGTTCGTATCAGTAATGGCAATGAACATGGTGCCATTAACGGCGGGATCACCTGCGTAGGTCTCAACGTTGGGCTGAATAGTCGATCCAGATCTCGAGCCATTGAGCGTCAACTCAGAGTAGGTCACGTTCAGCTGCGTCACCCACGCCACGTACTTCGGCGCTCCAGCGGTAGTCGAGGTCACGTAGCTATTGTTCGGCCCAACAGGCTGTCCTGGAGCATCCCAAGACAGGAAGACTTCCCGGCCAGGGAACGACAGAGGGTTTGTGCGGTTGTGGGTGATTGCAGGGGAGCAGTTAATACCCACGGCATCATTGTTCTGGCAAGCTTGCGAGCTGGGGACCGCCGTGCTGTTCAGCACGTTTGTGCCATTGGTGATAGTCTCCCTCCAAGCATCAGCGCCGTTGATACGAACCGGGTTCGGCTGGTTGAGGATTGAGAGGGCTGGGAAGTTTTGCCATGCGAGGCGCGTCTGGCCTTCTGGGCAAGAGGCAATATACGGAGCAAGCAAAGTCCAAGCCCATGACTGAGGAACACCGACCTCGAACCAGACTGGCATGGGGAAGAGTCCCTCGAACTGCCTGAAGATCATTTGCTGGCGAGCCTCCGTGGTGATGGACAAAGTGAGAAGAGTCGCTGCTTCGCGCGAGTCCAGATGGGACAAGAACCCATACACACCAGCCTCACCGAAGCGTGTAAGCTTCTGGCAGAAATCCAAGAACTCGTGAACTGTGGTATAAGGGTAGACATAGTTGCACTGTCTGGGTGCCTCTGCGCCCAAGATGTTGGTCAACATGGTCGCATGGCCGACTTCCTGATCCGCCATGAACTCGATCAAGAAACGATCCTCCGCTGTCAACCCCGCAGCAGTGAAGTCGTCAACAGAGAAGCGTGCCAGTCCATCATGGAAGAGGTCGAGCTCGATGTACTCTTGGTACAACGCAAGGGCCTGACATTATGTTAGCAGGAACAGAAAGCTGTGGAAAGAGCCAAGTGAACACTCACCAAAGATTCGTAGTCAAAGTCACTCTTTGCGTTATAGACAGGGGTAGTCCCATTCGTTCCCACGCCCCCTGCTGGGATATAAGGTCCAGGCTCGGGGCTATGAAGCTGACCATCACTAGGGTAGGTGGTAGCCTCCGGAGGAATGCCCAAGGGGGAAATGCCAGGGCCGATAGGGCCAAGAGTGAGTGCCCCAGTCGTTGTCGGTACCCCAGTGTACGGAGTGTGGGCCTGGGTTGTGGAATATGTCACGACAGGCGGAGGAGCTACAGCCGCAGGGGCAGTAGGAGCTGTAGCAGGGGCAGTGGCAGGAGCAGTTCCAGGGGCAGTTCCAGGGGCAGTTCCAGGGGCAGTTCCAGGGGCAGTTCCAGGGGCAACACCGGGAGCAGTCGCATTACTAGGTGCGATGCCAGGCGCAACGCCCGTCGCATTCCCGACTTGCCGAGGAATGTTGAGGCGGGGATATGCCAGACTCAAGGGCAAGGAGCCCATTGAGCCAAGCAAAATCAAACGATATAAAGTCATGCTGATCAGCGGTTGTATTCCAAAAAGTTAAAACATCCGCAACTTGTTGAAACCTGAAAGCTCGACAGGCACCCAGCAGGTACATAAATACGTTCATAGCCAGCACATCGTGCTCGTCATGTCACCTCCCATTTGTGACGCAATCGGGCAATCATAGTACTCACGACTGTCTGCAACGGAGAACATATCCACTCGGTTTGTCGAAACAGGAATTTTTGTTGGAGTGCGGATGCGCGTGGATGTAACCTTCTCATCATCCATGACCCTCACGGAAGGCGACGGAAATATGGAACACAATAAAGCTCACACCGCAGACCCACCATGACTGACTTCAGGGAAAGAGAGATATGAGGTATTTCTGGTTAAGCCCCAAGACTTCGAGAAGAACGCTTGGGGTGCGAACGGTACGGTTGTCATTACACTCAAGCCACCCCGCGTGGCTTTCAAGAATGCATACGGGTTGGACAGACGACTAGAACGACCCCTGTAAGGAACGGATCAATGTGCCTTAGTAATTGCCCAGGGGGAAAGTAAGATGTATCACGTAAGGAAATTTTGTAGCCTATCACCGTCCCAGACGCCGGATTCAGGTCTCGTGGAGTGCCTGAGGATGCTCTAGAGATGTGTCAGTCTGAAACCAGCATTCCATTCGATACGACAATCACTTTACTTCGCAACAAAGAATACAATATGTAGACCCAGTCGACTTACCCACAATATGCCAGACATCCGATGGTGAGCTTGGTTAATGGATTTGCTACATGGTTGGACGGAAGTGATATCCAACGGAATGACAGCCCGGCAAGGTAGCAGTTACCGCGCGAGGTATGGATGGCTGGAGATCAGCTGTTTCCGGTCGTGCCCGATATCAGCGCCCAATTACTATTGCAGGTAGCATGTCACCATTGTTGCTCTTGCGATGGCAGGTGTCATGAATATAGCCAGTGCCAGTCGTGAGCTTGCGCTGAGGGTATGCTGCTCGCGGAGATGGTTTTCACTTTGCAAGTTGACCACTTACCGGGGCCGCTCGAACTTAGGGCATGCAAGATAGCTAATATAGAAATAACGGCAAAAGCAGGTTTCACAAAGTTCAATCAGCATCATTTGACGCCGTCCCCCACGGTGATATGCCTGATTGAGCCAGTTGCATCGCCCTCTACAAAACCCGACTTTTTGCGGTGAACCTTTGTCCTTCTCATGCATTTCTTCACGATCGCATCTGTAAGAAAGGGAATAATACTTTTTGACAGTACTGAACATGTCGCAATTCAATGCTGCCCAGTTGTTGTCGGTCGAAGGACTGGTTGTCGTCTTAACCGGTGGTGGCACAGGTAAGCTGAGCCCCTTACCGCCGCAAAGTTCGTGTGACTGACTATTTTTACCCTCCAGAATTGGGCCGTTCAACAGCCCTTGCATTGGCCGAAAATGGTGCCGCAAAAGTCTTCATCCTTGGCCGTCGAGAAGACGTTTTGCAAGAGACCGTGTCTCTTGGCAAAAAAGACACCATTATTCCAGTCCAGGCGGATATAACATCAAAAGAGTCTTTGCAGGCAGCCTATGAGACTGTCGCAGCACAGACAGATTATGTCGACCTACTCATCGCCAACAGCGGCTATGGAGGCCTGCCAATGGCACCGCCAAAGCCAAAGCCGGACGGGTCAATCCCAAGTCTTGCTGAGTTCCGAGATCATCTGTGGTCCTCCCCAGAAGAAGATTTCGGAAAGCTCATGGATATCAACGTGAAAGGGACGTTTTTCACGGTTGTTGCATTTTTGTCTCTGCTCAACGCAGCAAATGAGAGAAGACCGGCTCCCGCAATGGACGAACTCCCAACACCAAAGGCACAGGTTATCATAGTTGGTTCGGTAGCCGGTCATTTTCGAGTCGTGCCTTATAGCATCGCATATAATATCTCCAAGGGTGCGGTGCATCACCTAATCAAGACACTGTCCAACATTCTCACACCGTACGATATCCGTGTGAATGGTATAGCACCGGGATTGTTTCCTTCTGAGATGACGAAGACAGCGTTTGGAATCACCAAGTCATCAGCCATGGATGGTGCTTTTCCCAAGAGTGAACTGCCACCCGGTCGCGCTGGTCGCCATGAAGAGTTTGCAGGCTTGGTCCTTTGGATGGCTAGTCCCTCTGGGGCATATGCCAATGGCAATATCACAATCATCGATGGGGGTTGGCTGAGCACGTTGCCAAGTTGTTAGGTACCCGACACCGAAGACTGACACTGAAACAGAACACGATGGCACGTATATACATATACTCTCATTGAGCTAGAAAGTAACTTTCATGCATAACCCATTACAAGATGCTATATGCTCTGAAAGAAATTGTCAAATACGATGCCTAGACCCGCTGAGCATAATATTAATTCAATAAACGCGACCTGCAGCCACAAGAAGTATGCCATGTGCCGTGCAGCGTTTTGAAACGAAGCTTTTATATGGTTGCTGTAAGTCGTTGCACCAGATAATCGCCCGTGGTTATTCCAGGATACTTTGCAGGACGTGTCTCCTCTTCGAAGGTTCCAGGAATAGCCTCAATAAATTGGTTCATGTTGGGGTTGCAGAAGTATGCAATGCTGTAGCGATCAGGGTAAACAACCGAATCGTTCTCTTCCTCCCCGACTGCTGTCGGCGGCTCGACAACTCGGTGTCGCGTACTTTTGATGATGTCGTTGGACCAGCGAGCCAGCAAATCGCCAGCATTAATAACCACGGTGTCGGCGATGGGGGTCACATCCACAAACGTGCCCTTGGGACTACGAACTTGCAGTCCCCCGCGGCTATCTTGAAAGAGAAGCGTGATAGAGCCATAATCGCTATGTTCACCGGCTCGAACTTGTCCCGGATTTTGCTTGAAGACCTCCTTAGGCACGGAAGGATAATGCAGCAGGCGAAGGTTATTGTCGCCCGCATCCACATAGGCATCAAAGAAGTGCTCTGGCAAGTTCATGCCCAGTGCAATAGCCCGCATGACCTCCGTGTGGAGCGACTTGCACATGTCAAAGAACGACAACATCACTTGCTTAAAGTCTTTCCCTTCATCATCGATGTGGTCGGGCCACCGATTAGGAAAGCCATCCACACCTTCCCGACCGATTTCCATTGTCTCCTTCAGGTCGGGAGTGGTTCGAGAGACCCCCTCCACGTCATCGACCGTGCTTAGCTTCTCTTGCCCAGTCTTGACGTATCCACGGTTCGACTGTGGGGTAGTCCAGCACAGACTATCTTTTTGATCCTGCGATCGACCGAAGAAGCGACCTGAAGAGCCAAATACACCGGAGACAACGGAAGGAGGAAT